CTCCGGGCTCGCGCGTCCATCCCTCGCCCCGCCCCCGCAGCTCTGAGCCACTGGCGCCCCGCCTCTGCCCGCCCCAGGGCCGGCCCACAGCAGCAGACTGCGCGCAAGCGTCGTAGAGCTGAAGCAGGAAAAGTTTTGTGGGCGCCCAGACGTCACTCACCGCTCTGGTGTGCAAGCGGGTATCGCCTCTGTTGCCCCCGGATTCGCCTCAGCGAATCCCTGCGCCCAGCAGCGAGCAGCTACGGGGAATGGGTGGGAACCCTGTGGACCAGTTGGCCCCGGCGAGGGGAGCTTGGCACGCTCCCCCGGCAAACCTGCTTCAGACTTCTTCATGTGACCTGCTACTAGAAAAGGGACAGAATCACGAAGTCCAAGCTGCAGAGAAGGGAGAGGGTTGCAGCTCTGTAGCTTCGTCCTCTGCCTATCCCACTCCTGCCCTCGCAAATAGGGTCGGAACCCGAGAAGCCTCGGAAGACGTCGTGCTCCCAACCTCCCCGGGCCAAGAAGGCCAGGAGGCTGGAGCAGGCTCGGGCGCTGCTGTGTTTTGCACCTCCTGCCCTCTCCCCAGCTGCCCTTTTCCTTGGCCTGGCTCAGGATTTTGAGTTGAGACGAGAACGTGGGTGAAGAGTGAGGATTGCGATGCCCAGCCCAAAACTTGGAACTAGATTTGAGAAAGTGTTGTTTCAGTTGTCCCGCACGTGTCTGTGAATTACAAGGAGTTCCTTAACACACCCCTCCCGCAAGTAACTGCCAGTTGTTGAGACGAGGAAGGAGGTCCATCGCGGGGGTGGCAGGGCCCCTGAGCGCGTCCTTTCCCCTTAGCCTTTTCGTGGGGCTGTTTCTTCTGGGGAAGTTCATGGGGAACCGTATTGATGATTTCCTCTTTCCGAAGACAGGCTTCTGGGGGAGAGCCCCACGCTTACGGGCCGGGTCATTGATGCCCGCAAAGTACTATCAGCAGCCATAGCATCCTTCCGCAAACCCGTGTCGGGGGCGGTCGCCTCGCCCTTCCCTCGCTGACCGGGAGCCAGCTCCCGCCCGACAGGGTTAGCGCGCAGTTCGCGTGCTCGCGGGGCCGAGACAAACGCCCAGGTCAGAGAACGACAAACACCGAGGTCAGAGAGCACGGCCCAATCGGGAGAAGGAGGCGCGGCTGGTGGCCCGGGCTGCAACCGCAGCCGCTCCGCCCGAGCCCAGGAGCCCGCACCCGGAGCTGCGGTTCATTCACTTCTCCGTCCTGCTACTTCTCATCAAGGCCCCTGAGGGCGCAGGGACCCAGGCTCTCTCACACGGCGGCTCCTGCCTTGCAGCCGGCACGGTCCCGCCTTCCGGACGGCGCAGGGCGGAGGGCGGGAACCAGAGCCTCTCATGCGCACCCCCGCCCTCCAAGGCTCAGTTTCAGAGTCTCCCCACTTCTCTGCGGCCATCGCCCCTCTGCTCGGCTCGCAGCCCTCCCCATCCTCTTCCGGCTCACTGCCGCGTCCTCGTCCCCTCTCCTGGGTCCCGGCTGCATTCACCCTGTGCTCCTGCCTGTCGCAATCTCTGTACAAAGGGCCGGGGGCGGGAGTGGGAGGCGGGCGAGGGGAGCCGGGCTCGAATTGGCTGCTGCCGCGAGGCTGCGGCCAATCCGGCTCTGGCGCGGGAGGGGCCAGAGCAGCCGCGGGCGGCCGGGCGGAGCCGCAAGCGGAGCCCGGAGCTCACCGAGGGGACGGCCGGCCGCCTGCAGCCAGCCACCCGCCGGGGTTTCTCCGGCCTCATGATGCCACCGTGGGGAGCCGTCCTCGCCCTGCTCCTGGCCGCGCTCGCCCTGCTTGGACTGCTGGCCCCCTGGCTACGGCGCCCAGGGAGGCGCGCCGTCGGAGCCAAGACCCTGCCCGACGTCGGGCACCAAGACGACGAAGCGGAGGTGGAAGGCGGAGACCTCGCGGGCCAGCTCAGCCACTGGCGCGAGCCGCTGCCCGGCGGGTGCCGTCTCATCTGCAAGCCGTCGGCGCTGGCCCAGTGCCTGCTTCGCGCTTTGCGGCGATCGGCGGCGCTGGAGAGCGGCCCTCGCTCCTGGCTCTCCGGGCCCCACCTGCAGACCCTCTGCCACTTCATCTTGCCCGTGGGGCCGGGCCCAGAACTGGCCCGCGAGTACCTGCAGTTGACGGACGACGGGCTGGTGGCCCTAGACTGGGTGGTGGGACCTTGCAGCCGAGGGCGCCGAGTCACCAACGCTGGAGGCCTTCCGGCGGTGCTGCTAGTGATCCCCAATGCGTGGGGGCGCCTCACCCGCAACGTGCTCGGCCTCTGCCTGCTGGCCCTGGAGCGCGGCTACTACCCGGTCATCTTTCACCGCCGCGGCCACCACGGCTGCCCGCTGATCAGCCCTCGGCTACAGCCTTTTGGGGACCCGTCAGACCTCAAAGAGGCCGTCACTTACATCCGCTTCAGACACCCGGCGGCCCCGCTGTTCGCAGTGAGCGAGGGCTCCGGCTCGGCGCTGCTGCTCTCCTACCTGGGCGAGTGCGGCTCCTCCAGCTACGTGACCGGCGCCGCCTGCATCTCGCCGGTGCTACGCTGCCGCGAGTGGTTCGAGGCCGGCCTGCCCTGGGCCTACGAGTGGGGGTTTCTGCTCCAACAGAAGATCGCTCTCAGCAGGTGGGTAACGGAGGCCGCGGAGGGAAGACAGGTCGAAAGCTGACAGAGAAACAGCTCTGCCTGGTATTGAATCAAACGGGTTTAGGCCAATTTGGGTAGAGTTCTCCGGAACCACTTTCTGAAGCCGTCCAAACCCTGTGGTCTAGACAAAATCTAGGAAGAAGGTTTAAAAGCTATAGATGCACTCAGGAGCATTGTGCGAGAGACTCCCGCCCAGGGGCCCTTCTCCTCTCAGCCCCACGGTGTCCTAGCAACCCGAGCACCTGCCCCACGGACAGCAGCTAACGCCTGACATTTACCACTTAGCCCATAGCTTGACAAATCAGCAGAGGGCCCTGGAAGCAATTGCAACAGATTATCTGTCCAGAATGTTTTCCTATCGCCTTTGGGTCTGGGGGTGACAGGAATCAGAAAGATGTTGGCATTTGGTTTATTATAATTCTTTAGGCCTGGAAAAATGTCGTTCATATTCATAGGCATGTGCTCACTATTTAATACAAAATCGCTTTTAAAAATATGCCAAAGGAGAAGACTGTACCACTAGGGTGACACAGGGAGAAAGAAGGCTTGAAGGACAGCCCCACAGCAGATAACTCAGCCTCAGCCTACACTGTTGCTTTCCTAGGAGATGGCAGAATGAGGTCCAAGACATTATGGCAAAATGTGGTATAGCACAAAGACCTGGACGATGGGGTCACACTCACTTGGGTTCAAATCCTGAATTTCTAGCAATTTAACTAACCATGGAGCCTCAATTCGCACTTTGGTTAAGTGGAGTGACTCATGACCACCTCCCAGGGTGGCTGTGAACATTACATGAACTAACAAAAGCAAAGGGCCTCACCCTGGGTAGGTGCTCAATAAATGGTAATTACAATTTCCCTTTCTTCCTTCTCCCCACTTGGCTTCCTATTCTCAGGTCAAATCCTGAGCTCGACAACAGCCCCAAGCGCTGCCATGGCAACCCGGCGCTGGTGCAGTCCAGAGCAAGGTGCTTTTGTATGGGTTAATTGCCATAGCTAGCTTCCATCGGAACATGACCACCACCAGCGCTGAGCCTAGGCACCAGCTGAAGGTTAGGGAAGTAGAGAGGAAACTTGAGCCTTTAGGAGCTGCCCTGCCCATGGAAGTTTGGGATTCAAAACTTAGAGCAAAACTATTTGAATGTTTGCAGGAGACACACGTCCAAATTCAATTGGCTGAGGCTAGAATGATCCGTCTCAATGAGTGGGCTACCCATCCTGGCCTCCTTGTCAGGGTGGTGGGCCCTCTCTCTTCAGGGAGCTGGAAACAGCAAAGATGTCTCTTTTCCCCAAAGCAGTTGCTCTCAGGCCCCCAGTGAACACAGGCTGTAACTTAATTACCCTTCCTACCCAGCACTCTCCAGTGAATACCTGCCCTGGTGATCAAGGTCACATTCATCTGTCATCATTAGGACAACATCTTAACTTTAAAAATATATATATCACCACTAACGCACTATTGCAACCAAAGTCATATGTGAGTGACTGGTGGGAATAGTTTGTATGGTCTGAGCCAGTGAGTTCCTTCAGGAGAGGCTAAGGAGGTGACAGTTGACAGTAAATGCCCTACAGAGAGCCCTGTCTTCAGCTGCTGTAAAGTCCCCCAAGGGCTGGACAGGGATTGCTGGGCAGACAATATTCGTATTGCGTGAATAACAGGCTCCCTGAGAACTGCCAAACAGGAGGCAGTTTGGCAAACAGGAAAGCCCCCAAGGAAGGTCAGCCCATGTTGCCAGATCTTCCCATTAACCTTAGAGGAGCCAAACATCTGCATTTTATGTGAAATCTCCTGGTTTTAAATGATGGCAAATACATAGACATTTTTGAAAAAGACACTATGTGGCCAAAGAAAGCATCTGTGGCCAGAACGGGGCCTGTGGGCTTCCACACTGTAACTTTTGCTACGTTGGTCTTCTGATTCTTCCTTGTCTTACCCACCTTCTCCGTTCGACTCCTTGCTGCCAGGTACGCCACAGCCCTGGAAGACACCGTGGACACAGGCAAACTCTTCCAGAGTCGCTCCCTGCGAGAGTTCGAGGAGAACCTCTTCTGCCACACCAAGAGTTTCCCCATCAGCTGGGACACCTACTGGGACCACAACGACCCCCTCCGGGACGTGGATGAGGCGGCTGTGCCCGTGCTGTGTATTTGCAGTTGTGATGACCCAGTGTGCGGACCCCCAGACCACACTCTCCCTACTGAGCTCTTTCACAGCAACCCCTATTTCTTCCTCCTGCTCAGTCGCCACGGAGGCCACTGTGGCTTCCTGCGCGAGGAGCCCTTGCCAGCCTGGAGCCACGAGGTCACCTTGGAGTACTTCCGGGACTTGACTGAGTTCTTCCGCGCGGAAGAGAGGATGAAAGGGCTGAGCAGGCGCCGAGCTTCCTTCCTAGGGGGCCGGCGTCGCTGGGGAAACCTCCAGAAGCGGGAGATCTCCTCCTCTTCCAATCTCGAAATCTTTAGCTGGAAGCGGTCATATACAAGGTGAGACCTGCAAGGAAGAACAGGGTTCATATACAAGGTGAGACCTGCAAGGAAGAACAGAGTTCTGAAAACATGCGGAGGACTTCCTGGGGCAAACATTGCCATCGCCTTGCTCTCGATTCAGCCCCTTCTCTCCTAGACTGGTGGGTGGGAAAAATGCCACTTCCGGCTAGCTGGAGCTCAGTTTACCCTGAGTAGAATTCCTACCCACACTTTTCTGCTCAGCACATTCCTACTCATCTGGTGTCCAGTGGGGCATTCACAGCCACTGTCTCCCGTCACTGAGCTCATAAGCCAAAGGATTGCACTGTTGAAGTCCATGGACTCAGGAGAAAATGCTCTTTCACTGGGAATGAGTTCAGAGAAGAGGAGTTGATGCGTGTCATTGGGTAGCTCTGTCCTACATAAATAATCAGCTCTGTGACCCTGATTCTTGAGCTGGAGCCATTGGATGTAGTGAGGACAGGATGTTTGTGTCTCAGTCCCACTTCCCTCATTTCACTCTGTGGTTGTGGCACGCTGCTTCGGCTTGATGTATCCGCAGCTGTGGAAGCAGGGCTCTGAGTTGCTTGGCTACTTCCGTCTTGTGTGAGAAAGGCTGTGGTGCAGGGGTAGGAGGCAGTAGGTGCTGTGTAGGGACCAGACTGGTGAGGGCTGACAAAGTAGAATGTGATGGCCTCTCTACAATAGCAAGGGGCCCTCTTTCAGGGTCAATCTGCAAACCTCAGTTGTGAATGGAGGCTGATCTGTGGTTCCCTCCTAGGACCCTGAACCTCACTGAAGAGATCACAGGGATGACTTGGGGAATAGGAAGGCCTCTTAAGCAAGTCTAAGGATCCTGCTAGATCAGGGCTCAAGTAGCCAGGCTCTCTGCCACTCTAGATGTTGCTTCCCTCTGGTCTCATTTCAGAGAGCCCTAGCCTGAGCTGTTTTTCTCTTGAGTGAGTGTGGGCTTTCTGTAAGTCAGTGGAACATACAAACCTCATAATTCGGGTATTTTCTGGTTGTCTCTTTTCTGTCAGCACCACTAGCCTCTCCCTTTCTAGAGCCACGAATGACATCTGGGACCAGAGAAGACAAAATCCCCAAGAGGTTGACTTGAGCTGACTCAGTGATTTATGAATATTTCACATGACAGTGCCTTTTCTGCTGAATAATTCAAAAGGCCGTCCATGAAATGCAGAAAACCTTCCTGGATCCGGCCACTCAGTGGCTAAGTGGGTGTTCGGTTTTATGGAGCTTGATGCTGAAGACTAGAGTGAAATAAGGCGTGGTGTACAGACTGACCCACATGTCCCGGTTTGGATTAAGCCCATTAAACAACAGGACCCAGTTCCACGTGTTACTGAGATCTCAAAGCTTTTCCCTGAAGTTTTCTTTCATTTGCCATCGAGAAAAAGGGCAACTGGTTTGCTAGGAAGTGTCATCCTGGCCTCACAAACAGTAAAGCAGTTTTCAAGAGAAGAGAGGTTTACCCAGAGCCATATCCCAAGGCTTGGTAGGAGGTATTCTTGGGACCCTGATTTCAGATCTGGAGAATCTTATCCCAGCCTTGTTCTAGATCAAATAGGAAAAAACTCTAAACTAACTCCAAGGATCTAAACTGACATACAACAGTTGATTGTCTAAGGCCTATTATCCTGCTGTCATCAAATGATCTCCCTCCCCACTTCTTGCTCCTCCTCCTCCACACCCCTCATCCAGCATCCTCTCTCCATTTCTGAGCAGGAGAAATAAAAAGGAACTGAAATCTAAATGAAGTCATTCTACTGGTGGAACAACAGTCCTGGTGTAAGACTTTGTGAGAGAATTACTGACATCTGGCCATCTCCATAGCATCTGGGACAGTGGGGGGTTCAGTTATTTAGGGTCCCACAGTCCCATATGCCCTAGGATCATTCAGAACTGACTGTGAAATGAGAAGCAGCTCAGTGATTTCTTAAACCCCAAGGGCTTAAAGGGCTCCCAAGGGCTAAAATACGGTCAGATGCCACAGGATTCTGGTTAACATAGCTTTGGGAGAATTAGTGGTTGGTTTTCCCTTTCTCTTCCTTTACAGGAAAGCAAGGTTACCAAGGAGGAAAATATACATAATTTCAGTTACAGACTTAAAGCTCTCAGAATGGCAGAACAGCCCTAGTTCAGTCTCCATCAATTCCCGTGGACCCTGAACCCCAAGAACTGACCTAAACCCTGAAGTTTTTGTCCCTGCCCATCATCACCATTGCCTCAAGCCAGATGTGCTTACTGGATATTCCAGGATATCCAGGCCTCTCATCTTCTCATCTTTTTCCGCCCTAGCTTGAAGGCTAGGGTGGAAAAAGCCCATTATTTGCCAAGTAAATGTACACCATCTCTTCACTTATTGATACTCTTGTTATCCAACATTTCGTATTTATGACAAGTAAAAAAATGTACTATATTGCACATTAATGATGTGCATCTGGCAGTAACAAATGCTGAGAGGTGCTCGTAAAGAGTAATGCTGGCTATGTTGTTGTTGTTGTGTGCCGTCGAGTCGGACCCGACTCATAGCGACCCCTCCTTGGGTTTCCGAGGCAGTATCACTACGGAAGTAGATTGTCCCATCTTCCTTCCGAGGAGTGGCTGGTGGGTTTGAACCGCCAGCCTTCTGGTTAGCAGTCAAGTGCCTTAGGCACTATGCTACCAGAGCTCCTATGCTGGCTATAATGGTTGGTTATTTGTCAACTTGGCTGGGGCACAATTCTCAGTGGTTTGGCAGTTGTGTAATGATGTAATTTAGCGGTTATGTAATGATGTGGTCATCCTCCATTTTGTGATTTGAGGTAGTCATCTTCCATTTTTACATATTGCTGATTTTCACATAATGACCTGGTCTTTGAAACCTAACGATGTTGATAAGTGAGGAGTGGGTATAGTTCCTGTCCAGGCAGGTAAGGTTTGGGTGACCCTGTCCTTAAAGGAATCATCCAGATTCATTGGCTCTACTGTGGTAAATAGCTAATCATGTGAAACCAGGCTGACTATTCTGAGTGAATGAGTGGCCCTTGATGGAAATGATAGGTTATGAGTTAGAAGAAGCAAGAAACAAACAACAAAACAAAGCAAACCTAAACCAAAGAAGTACCACAAAATTGGAATTTTCCAGGTGGTAGCTTTTAGGGACCTGATTGAGTCTCATTCACTTGCTTGTCTTCCTTTTGGTTTTTCATTATTTATTTATGTTGTTGTTAGCTGCTGTCAAGTCAGCCTTGACTCATAGCAACCTCATACACAACACACCAAAATGCTGCCCAATCCTGCATGGTCATCTTGATCAGATGTGGATTGGACTGTTGGGTTCCACTGGGTTTGCACTGGCTGATTATGGAGAGTAGATTGCCAGGCCTTTTTTCCTAATCTTAGTTTGGAAGTTTTACTCTAACCTGTTTGGCATCATAGCCACATGCGAGGCTCCACTGACAGATGGGTGGTGGCTCCGCATGAGGTCCATTGGCTGGGATTGAACTCAGGTCTCCTGCATGAAAGGTGAGAGGAAGGCATAAGGGAAAACAAAACAATGGCGTAAGGGAAGCATAATCTCACACAAGTAGAGACTGGGTCCTTGGTCTCCAGCCACTGGCTCGAAGAATCGAGAATCCATATGGATCAAAATGCAGGAAGCGGATGACTGCCTCTGAAGGTTTCTTTTGAGTTCTACTATTCTGACCTTGGAGATCAAAGAGTGTGCTACACTCTGACAATTCTCATGAAGATTTAGCATTTTATGTAATTTTGAGTAGGTTTCCAGGGTGGCTTGGCTGGAGAATATAAAAAGCAAAGTGCCAAATCCTCTCCTTCACAAGACATCATCTGTCTTGGGTTTTGGGTGAAGGTACTCTTTCCAAGACTTGAGACTTAAATACTGTTAGAAAACAGGTCTTGATGCAGGAAGTATTATCTTGGCTTTGTATGTAACCACAAAACCACCTCAGAATCAGAAGAGCCTCTGTACTCACCCTCCATCCAGACCACAAGATCCTCTGTCAGTCAGTCACTCTTAGTAATGCCAAAGTATCTTCCCTTAGAAATGAATTTTAGCATTAATTTCCCTCCTTGCTTAAGCAAGCAAACACACTTGACCACTTTGTTGGGACTTTGTAACAATGAGGAGAATTTGTAACTTTAAGAGTAAGCTACAAAGGATACATCAGAAACTTTTCACAATTTGCAGAGATAAAACTGCTTTTAGGAAGGTTTAAGAAGTTATACATGAAAAATGTCAGAGTGGCCGAAGATGGAATGACTGCTTCAGGAAGCAGCAGGTCCCACCTCATTGGTGGGATTCAAGTTAGGCTGCCACTTCGCATGTATCATGCCAAGATATCTTGGAGGGGACATGTGCTGAGAGTCAGGGGGGACCTAGATCAGATATAAGGTCTATTCTCATTTGAGTCTGAATTAAAATAAATAATGCCCATGAGCTCAGTGGGTAGTAAAGACTTCTGGTTGGTTTATGGGCTTAAGGATCAGGAGACCACAGACCTGACCAGGGTTTTGGGAGTTGGGAAAGGGCATAAAGATTTTAATGAAAATAACCCTGCCAAAGTGACCAGAGCATGTCTTTAAGATATGCAATAATTATGCTCTAGTCTGAAGTGCTCAGGAAGAACTCAAAGTTAGAGGGAAAAATGGAATTCCACTAAAACAAACAATAAAAGACATGAAAAGCATTTAAAAAACAAAACACCCACAAACCTGTAAGTCTCCAGCCCCACCAGCCTTCCTTTGTAATAAGACAATACCTTGCCCTAGTGTTTAGCCCTAGTGTGAACAAAAACTTCTCCAACTTGCCCCTGAATAGTAAATGAACTACAGTCTCCCTGCAACACTGGCATGTTACTGTTTTTTAAATCCCTCGAAACAAATATGTGATGTTTGTCTTCTGAAGTCCTTTGTGTACCGAGCCTGCTTACCTACCTGTGGAGTTTAGCAGAGTCTCCAGCACATTCTATATTCCTTTGTTGCCTCACTTCTGTGGATCTAGCC